AAGAAAGAAAAGCCTCTGATTCTGATGATAAACCACCCAAATGAAGGTGTAGAGAATTGTCCAGGATGGGATGGGCTATCTTGTTAGGATTATTTGCATTTAATTTAATTTATTTTAGAGACAGAGTCTTACTCTGGTGCCTGAGCTAGAGTGCAGTGGTGTGATCATAGCTCACTGCAGCCTTGAACTCCTGGGCTCAAGCAATCCTCCTGCCTCAGCCTCCAGAGTAGCTGGGACTATAGGCACATGACACTGTGACGGGATATTATTATTATTATTACTGTTATTTTAGAGATGGGGTCTCACTGTGTTGCCCAGGCTGGTCTTGAGCTCCTGGCCTCAACTGATCCTCCCACCTCTGCCTTTCAAAGTGCTGGGCTTATAGGTGGGAGACACCTTGCTTGGCTAGGATTCTTGCATTTTAAAAGTAACTTTGTCAAAGCAAGAACTCATCTAGAGTGCGTGACTACAGTGGAGCCTTATCTCTTGTGCCTTTGTGTTGCCTCTTTTCCCGGTTCCTCAAGCCCCTGCCTGGCGGACCTTCAGCCAATCCAATGGAACTCTGAGTGGAAAGGAGAGGTGAGGGTGCTTTGCAAAGGAGGAAGATGAGTTAGAGACTCTTGCATTCAAACACGTGTTGAAGAGCTGATGAGTTAGAGACCCTTGCATTCAAACACGTGTTGAAGAGCTGATGAGTTAGAGACCCTTGCATTCAAACACGTGTTGAAGAGCTGGGCAGGCCAGACCCTGAGCTTTTGTTGAGGGCAAATTCAGCAGAAGGCCAAGAAAGGCAGGAGGGACCCCAGACAAGTTTGTATAAATTGCCTCTAGGTCCTAGTGGTGACTGTGGGGAGAACAGTTTAAAGGAGGATGTGGGTGAAGGATGAGGTTGGGGTGACAGAGAAGATGAAGGTCGGAAAATGACTCTGGGTACCTGAATCTCAAAGGGAGTTTCCTGAGCAAGCCAGTTCCCATCCCAGCTTGATGGCTATGGTCTGGAGAAGGGGGTTACTGGGCGGCGCCTGTGGCTCAGTGGATAGGGCGTCCATCCCATATACCAAGGGTGGTACATTTGAACCTGGCCCTGACCAAACTGAAACGAAAAGATAGCCAGGCGTTGTGGTGGGCGCCTGGAGTCCACTCTTGCTGAAGCAAGAGAATTGCCTAAGCCCAAGAGCTGGAGGTTGCTGTGAGCTGTGATGCCTTGGCACTCTACTGAGGGTGACAAAGTGAGACTCTGTCTCTAAAAAAAAAAAAAAAAAGGAAAGAAAGAAAGAAAATGGGGCTACTATGGAAGAGTATGGCTTCTCAGTTCTGCTTAGAAAAAGCATTGAAGGCTGGGTCCAGTGGCCCACACCTGTAATCTTGGCACTCTGGGAAGCTGAGGTGGGTGGATTCCTTGAGTTCAGGAGTTAGAGACCAGCCTGAGCAAGAGGGAGACTCTGTCTCTACTAAAAACTAGACAGGCATCGTGGCAGGCACCTGTAGTCCCAGCTGCTCAGGAGGCTGAGGCAGGAGGACCGTTTGAGCCCAAGAGTTTGAGGTTGCTGTGAGCTATGATGACACCATGCACTCTACCTAGGGAGACAGGGTAAGACTGTCTCAAAAAAATAAAAAAATAATAAAAAGAAAGAAAAGAAAAGAAAAAGAAAAGGCACTGGGACAGCAGAGGATTCTTTTCCTGTGGCCTTGGCCCAGCCACTTTGGGATTCAAGCAGCCAGGCAATGTGGACACTGTGCCCTGCTCCCTAAGCAGCCAGGCCAACTTTCAGGAGCTCAGCTGGTCTCCCCCGAAGTGCCTGCCACTTTGTATTGTAAAAGCAGCCCTGGGGCTCGGGCCCCACTGGCATCCCCCAACACTGTCCTGTGGCATTGTTAAGCACATGCAGTGCAAATGAAGAGCTAGGGATCTGGGGAAGTTGTACACCCAGAGAGGCCTGTTCCTAGTGGGGTGGGGCCAGAAAGCTAGAAAAATAATAAATACAAACAAAGCTCCCGAGTGCCAGAATGGGGCTGGCCAGGGCTGCAGCTGTCTGAGTAATGGGTTCCACATTTGTCTGGCTCTGTCTGCAGCCACTGGGATCCAGGCTGCACAGTGGGCCTAGCAAGGGCCAGAGGGGACAGCCCCAGATGCAGCCAGACCTCGCACACCCTTACGATGGCCCTGTCGCTGGCTGGCCACAGCATGGCTGAGATGGTACTGAGAGCTTACACTTGGGCACCCCAGCCTCCCCCTCAATCCCCGCCTGAGGCTCCTTCTGGCCAACACAGATTGTTCGCGTTATTAGTGCCGTTTTCCCAGAGATTCCATCTGGTTTTTTAATTGCTATGGGATGGGGCTAGGATGCTTTGATAGTGAATCGGTATCTTTCCCGTGTCTCCAATGCCGAATCTACAGGGAGGAGAGTGGAGTGGGGGATGGGGAGAGGTGAGTTTGCTGAGAGAGAAGAGATAGCACTAAGTCTTTTGCAGAATCAAGAAAGATCTTTCAAAGGTGTTGGTAGTTTGGTTTTATTTAAATAAAGAAGAAAAGTGGAAGAAGAGAAGAGGAAAGCCTTTCTCCACCCACCAGCATAGGAAAGAGGCAGCTGTTGTCAACATAGGTCACACCCACCACCCCTTCCCTCTCTGCGCCGGGCCTACAGAGGCCTGTGGTGCTCTGGGGAGAGGCCTTTGGCTGCACAAAATGCAGGTTTCTGTTTTCCCTTGACTGTCACCAGTGACCCTCGCCCCTCCTGTGACATCAGCAGTCCCTGAGGAGACCTGGCAGGTTTCTGCCTAGGAAAGAGGGGGCGGGAGAGCTGGGAGGGGCAGACACTCCTCCCCAGTCCCAGAGGCTCTCTGCAGGTGTCAGGGCCAAGCCCCAAGTTAACAGATTCCCAGGAGATTCAGGAGATAAGGGTAACAGCCTGACAGCTAAACCATCAGGAAGAATCCCAAGGAAAGGAGCTGCCTTTCTCCTTCCCTCTGTCCTTGCTCCTTTCTTGAAGGCTGGCCCCCCTGCACAGTGCTGTCAGTGGTGACGGGTGTTCTGAGGAGAGCTGTGTCCTGGGGAAAACTGTGCAGGGACAGAAGCATCCAGGCATCTTGGGATTGGGCCCAGGTGGGGCTGTCCTCAGCAGGTGTTGAATCAAAGCTCCTGCCTCCAGGAAGCCTTCCCTGGTGGGCCCTATTCATACTTTAATCTCCCCCTTATTGCACATGTCACCCTTAAACCACAGGTTGGGGCCACAAGGCTGTGAGCTTTCCAAGAGCAGGAACAGAGTCTGATTGTTCCCAGCTGAGTGCCCCATCCTTGGCACAGGGCCTAGCATACAGTAGGTATCCAATAAATATTTGGGGTGTATTCAGAGCCAGGCCCTTGGAGGGGCTCTTCCTGAAGGATGCAGTCAGGAGGAAAGCTTGTGGGGATCCCTGTAAGAACCAGTGGTGGCTGCAGCGATTCCTTGGAGGCCCTCGGTTGGGCCCAGTACTCATGCTGGGCAGCTTCGGCCCACACCTGAAGGACCCTCCTTCTCCCAGCAGGCTACATGGTCTACTTTGGGGCACACTGGGGGTCTCACCCCCTCATCCTTTTCCTGGGGCTGGATATGATTCAATGCAGTGGGAGGGGTGCCTTTCCGTGAGCTGATAGCTTTGAAAGAGGAAGCCCTTGGAGGGATGGCACAGGAGTGGGAGGAGTGAGGGCAGGAGGGTCGCCCCTCCCCTCACATCCTGGGACCCATTCTGGGGGCAAAGGGGAAGCCAAGGACCAGCCCCTCAAACGAGAAAAACTGGAATTAGCACTGAACTCAGAGAGGGTTTGCTAGGGCCTAGCAAGCCGCGGCCTGCCCCAGGCCTCTAGGCAGGTGGTGGAGCTGTGCCTCCTTGATTCCCAGGGTGGTGGGGCAGGCTGCCGCCTCCACATTGGGCTCGTGGCCTTTCCTCTGCCAAGGGAGGCCATGGGTGAGGAGGTGGCAAGACACAGGACAGAGAGGGCAGAGGTGGTGGGTGGGATAGGGGAGAGAGTTAACCACGCAGGAAGGTAAACCCCAAAGCTTTTGGAATGTAAAGAAGAATGTACTTTCCTGAAAATGCCCCAGTCCACATTGGCACCTATGTATGCTGCCCACAAACACTCACGGTGAAAGAGGGAAAAGGTGATTTACCTTTTACCTTCTGAGTGGCTAAAATCTGAAAAGCACCATCAGTGTCCTGGGCTAACTTCCTCCCAAGGCCCTGTTGATTCAGGGATGAGGGACCACCTTCCCTTGGCTGATGGTCACTGTTGCTAAGGGGTGCTGGGGTGCCCGTCTTCATGAGGCAGTCTTTGGAGCGGGGGAACATTAGGACTCAGCCTTCTGCTTGGTCCGAGATGACCACAGACCTGCGGCCCCTATTCCTGGCTGGGCTAGGGCAGGGTAGGTATGGGGGGGCTCAGCCTTCAGGCTCTCTCAGGGCATACAGGGGTGGGTTTGTGGGCATGTGGCCCGTGAACGTTGGAAGGGGTGGAGGGTCCCCTTACCGGAGGCTTCTCCCTGAAGGCCCGGGGTCTTGGGCCAAAGGTTGCTGTGAGTGAGTCTGCTCTGGAGCTGTAACTGTGAGTGGTTTGGAAGTAAGTGTGGCCAAAGGGCCTCTTAAGCCTGGGGCTGCGGGGCTGGACTTGCCCCTCAGGCATGGGGCTCCCTCTCCAAGTCCCTCTTTTCTTCCCAGGGATAGATGAGAAGCCACGCTAAAGCCTCATCGAAGACCCCACGGAATCTCCTGCCCTCCAGCCCCAAGAGACCATCTCTTCAAGGCTCTGGTACTCTCAGCTGGGAGCCTTGTCCTCCCACTATTTATGTGTCTTGCTTGGGAGAAGTAAGGAATCCACTTAAAGTAAAGAGGTGCTCAGGACGCATGGTGGGCTAATGAAAGTCAGAATCCCAGCCAGGGAAAATGCTGTGATCATTTACAAATGTGACCTGACCCACAGAAAACCTTGGAAGCAGCTTCTTCCTGGTTTTAAAAAGACACCGACATTTACTTTGATATGTTTATATTATAGATATAATACATAAAATATCTAGTATGAGACTCTATGTTCTCCCCAAAAGAAGAGAACCAGGCCATCCTTCCCTGTTCCCAGCCCCAGGGATGCGTTGGCTGGAGGCCATCTCCCTTCCAGACCAGGAGCCAGGGCCTCTGGGGTGGGGGAAGGATGAGCCTGTGGGCAGCTCCTGCTGGAGGGGGTTGAGCCTCCCCCCACTGCCAGGGAAAGCTGAGGGGAAAGGGGGAAGCCCACCTCACCTCACTGGTCCCCTGGGATCAAAAGCAATCCCCAAACCAGAGGCAGAGCGCCTCAGCCCCTTCCCCCAGCAGCTGGCTGAGAGTCTCACTTTGGCAAGTATCTGAGCAAAACCAAAACAAAACAAAAACCAAATAAAATGGTGGTTTAGCATAGATGTGCACAGTCAGGCACCGCTGGGACACAGAGAGGGCAGATGCAAGTGTTGATATCGGCTGATAAAGCAAAATATTTGGAAAGCTTGTCATAACTCCGGTCCCGCTGGGATGGACGGATTGTGCTTCATGTTCGTATGGCAATACTGGAGACATACAGTACAGACAGGGCTGACGGTCAGTGTCCCTACAGCCGCCTGTGCCCCAAGACCAGACCTCCAGGTTCCCCTCTTCCACCAGGCCACCTCCGTTGAACACGTGCCCATATAGCTAACCCATGACCTAGCTTTCTGGTCTCACTGGGGTGAGGGGCTCCCACTGGTCACCTGGTGACCCCCATCTCGTGAATTCTACCCAAGCTGGAGGCAGGAGGAAGGTGGGAGAGGCACAGAACTAGGAAACCTTCATGTGGAACTAGGGGAACAACGTTAGGTTCAAAGCCCCAAGTTCCTACGTTTCCTCCCCCTCTAAAATATGGGGGCTGAGAAGCATCTGGGGCTGGCTTGTCGTGATCTCAGCTCCCTGAGCCTTCCTCCTGCCATGGGCCCACACCCCTCCTTCTCTCGTGGGGGGCCTGCTGCAGCGTCAGGAAGGAGGCAGGAAACCTCCAAATAAATGACAAGGCACATATTTGCTCCCCCCTACTCGGTAGGAATTGGGAGCGGTGAGTTTGCATTTCCAAGGCACAAGGTAATTCCTTAATACTAGAGCCACTGGGCTCCCAGCTCAGCCCCAGTCTCCCAGTTCCGGAGTAACCACCGCCTGACACCCTCATCTTAGACGCACCGAATCTGGAGCAGAGGAAGGGAGGGGACTCGCGGAGCAGGCCAGGCTTGCAGGCGGCAGCGGAATCTCCTAGTCCTGGCTTGCGCTGCTCCGGTAGCCTTGAGATCCGGCGACCCGAAACCACTCCCCAGGTTCACGCCAGGGGCTGGCCCAGGGCGGACCGCAGCCGCGCGCCTCACGCGCAGTTGCCCATGGCCTTGACCAAGGAGCTCTCTGGCAGCTGACGGAAGATGCCCCTCAGCGTGTCCAGTTCGCGGCTCAGCTGTTCCACCCGCTTGCGCAGGCGGTCATTGTCACTGGTCAGCTCCAGCACCTTCTGCTGCGTCTCCACGTTGCGCTGCTTGGCCTTGTCACGGCTCTTGCGCACCGCGATGTTGTTGCGCTCGCGCCGCACCCGGTACTCGTTGCTGTTCTTATCCACCGATTTCTTGGCCTTGCCCGCGCCCCCGCCGGCGCGAAGGTCGGGGTGCGCGGAGGTCAGCCCCTTGAGCGCGCTTCCCGGGCCGGCGAGGCCAGGAGCGCCAAGCGCGGGTGCTGGGTGTGGGCTGGGTACAGGAGTGGGCGGCGGCGTGGGGTGGCCAGGCTGCAGGTGCATGGTGGTCTGGCCGCAGTGCGCTATCTGGAACTGCAGGTGGGGGGCGGCCAGGTGCGCGGGCGGCGGGTGCTGGTGTGAAGGCGGAGGCGGCGGCGGCGGCTGGTAGGGGAAGAGGCCAGCCAGCGCCAGCTGCTTGGCTTCATCCTCCTCGCGGGGCTCCTGCTTGATCACCAGGGGCCGCAGCGCCGACGCCCCGACGCGCTCGTACAGGGGCTCCAGCCTGCCGTCCAGGTAGCCTGCCGCCGTGCAGCCGTAGCCGGGAGGGGGGCCGTGCGCTCCCCCGGGCATGACGGCGCCGCCGGGACCCACCGGAGCGCCCGGATAGTCAAAGTCGCCGCCGCCGCCCGTGGTAGCCGCGGCCGCCTTGGCCTTCTCCTGCTGCCGACTATGCTGGAACAGGTCGGCCAGGAACTCGTCGTTGAAGGCGGCCGGGTCGATGTAGGCGCTGATGTCAATGGACGTCTCGTGTTCGCAAATGCCGCCCAGCGGCTCCGGGGCGGCAGGTGGGGCGGGAGGCTGCGCGGGGCCCGCGCCCCGGGGAAAGCCAAAGGCGGCGCTGCTGGGCGCGTGCTGGGGGCTCTGGAGGTGGCTGCTCATCGGGGGCCGCGGCTCCGCCTCGTAGAAGTCGGCCGACTCCATGGGGGAGCTAGAGTTCTCCCGGCATGGCGAGCCTCGGCGGCCTCCAGCCTGCGCGGGGCGCCGCTGCTGCTGCTGCTGCCGCCGCCGCCTCCCGCCCGGAGTCCCTACTCGCTCGCGCCCGCGCAGCTCCGGGTCGCGAATGGCCAGGGCCGCGCGGCCCCGCATTTATACGCGGGCCAGTCGCCCCCTAGAGTCCAAGGCTGCCTCTGACAGAGGCGGAGCGGCTCCTGCTGGGTCTTAGCGCTCGCCTCTCCGCGGGGGCGGTAAGTGGGGCAGGAGCGGAGCGCAGCACTACCCGGGACAGGCCGCGGCGCACGCCCACTGCCTCCTGCGCCGCAGGCCTAACCGCGGCGGTCGCTCAGAGCTCCACCCCCGGCCGGGCTGTTGCTCCCGCGCACACGTGGTCGGTGGCGGGGCCCCCTCCTCTAGCTTCTCCGAGCCACCCACTTCCAGCCAACACCAGGGGAGCCCGGGAGCATCCAGAGGCCGCACAGGGGTTGGTGAAGGGCGAATCTTGGTCTTGAGCTACTGTGGCGCGGACACGGTTTAAAAGCTAGAACCAGGCCTGTCCCGGCCCCGAGTCTCTGGAAGGCGGCAGCGCAGCGGGGCGAGGACGCTTTAGGGTGACTGTTTCGGAGCGCGGTGACTCTGCGCCTTCTATTTCTGATCTCCAGGCGACCACCCAATTTCGTGTGGAAGGGTTTTTTCCGACTCTGCCTCTCGCGGTCCTCCGGGGTCTGATTGGCTCTGCAGAGCAGGGCGCTAGGACCCCGCGGCGAGCGGAGGTGGCCGGGGCCCGAGAGCCTGGAGGGCTGGACTGGTTGATCCTCTCGGGCTGGAAAACTTTTTTATTACTTCTCCGGGCCAGAGCACGAGGGTTGTTGGGCTTGCGGGGCCAGCGCTGCTACCCCGTGCGGAGCCGCCACTTTTTTTCCTATGGGTCTGGCGGACTTTCGGGACACGCTGAGCTGGACTCAGGGATGAGCACTGGGAGGGGCGCACAGGAGGAGTTGGCGAACTTGACCCCAGGACCGGGATTTCGAGGCGGGGGCCGCATTCAGCAACGCCTGGAGCTACTGCTTTCTTCCCTTACTCCCCATTCAGGTGGGCGCCGACGGCGGGAGCTAGAGTGTCGAGGGGTCTGGCACCTCCAGGCCCGAGCACCCAGTGGGAGAGCTTTGCTGGGTGATCAGAAGGGTGCCAGGTCCCTGGGATCCTGAAGGTCAAGGCAGCCAGCACCAGTGCCCCTTGGGCGTTGCGGCCGCCTATGCTCTCACCTCTGCGGATGGAAGGAGCGTGCTACAGAGCGTCTCCCTTTCCAGCCACGTGGCGTCCCTCGAATTCTCTACTGAAAGCCTGGCGGCAGAGGTGGGGTGGCTGGGTGATAAATGTGAGCAACTGGGCTCCGATGGGGCCTGGTAGGCTGGAGGCTCTCCTGCCTTTGCTCTTGCCCCCACCTTGCCACTTGGGCAGAGGACGACGCCCTGGGTGCTACCTGGAGGGGCACAGGTCAAGACCCCCACACCGACATTGTCCTTTTTAAGCCTGGCAGGGCGCCTCGAACCACCCTGGAGCCCTCCTGTAGGAGTAGCTAAAAATACCACTTGGGGAGGCCCAAGCTTGCACTGTGGCCACAGTAAAGGAGCAACTTCATCTGGAAAATGCGCAGTATGCTTTAATCAAGTTCCTATTCAACATACTCCCAATGATTAATAGCCCAACTGCTTCGTTTTCAGTCCAGAGCTCATAAACAAGATATTTTTAGCTTGATGCTTTTGGACTGAGGGAGTAAAAACCAGATACGTTAAATAAATAACCTGACATGAGCTGAGGAGCTGTGCTCTGAGCCAGATGCAAGGCCGTTAATATGCTGGGCACCTGTGGAAGGAGGCCTGGAGAGAAATCCAAAAACACCCAGAGGGATTGTCTTTTTTTTTTTTTTTTTTTTCCTGCAGTGCTGAAAATAATGGCTTTCCCCAGTTAAAGAACAAAGAAAATGCTGCTGAAAATGTCCTGGCATGGACAGGTACAGCAAGGACGATGTCACTGGGGGCTTCATCCACGGAGTTGCTGTTCCTTGTGCTGAGAACGGGAACTTCGTCTCTTAGGCCTGGAAGAAACTGCAGCATGGAAATAAGACCTCGCCCGATGAGGGTCTGATGAGTGGACAGCGGACTCCAGCCCAGGGATATCCAGCCCAGAGGAGCATAGGTCCTCTTACAGCAGAACCATAAATCGCCCAGACAGGCCTGCCCCGTGGAAGGTGCTGAGTCTTCAGGGGAGAGTGACAAGTGGCCCAGCTCTTGGAGCTCAGAGGGCAGTGTAGGAGACAAGTCATCACACAGTCTGCTGGGAGGAAAGGCCTTTTCTCGAAGGGAGAGATGCAGAAAGAGCAGGGGGTGGGATGTCATCCATTCATTCATCAGATGTGTTAGGAGACAAACACTGCAATAGAGGATGGGTGTGCTGTCATAAGGGGTGTCTTGCCCTGAATGAGGAGCTCTGGGGAAAGTAGAGATCAGCTTTGTCTGGGGATGTCTAGTGGACTGAATTGTCCCTCCAAAATTCACATATTGAAGCCCTAACCCTTCTCCCCCATGTGACTGTATTTGGAGACAAGGCTTTTAAGATGTAAGGTTAAATGAGGTCCTAAGGGTGGGTTCCTAAATTGGTAGGATTGATAGACTTATCAGAAGAGGAAGGCCATGTGACTACATAGTGAGAAGGTGGTGGCTGTCTGCAAGAGAGGCAGAGAGCCCTCACCAGAACCTGACCATGCTGGCACCTTGATCTCAGACTTCCAGCCTCCAGAACTGTGAGAAATAAGTGCATATTGTGTAAGCCCCCAATCCATGGCACTCTTTTAGGGTAGACAGAAGCAGGAGGTGAGAGAGGGCTTCCTGCAGGAGTGGACCTTTGAGCTGTGCCTTGAGTGGGCAGGAAGAGAAGGGAGGACGGTCTTTCTAGGGGAAGGGAACAGCAGGTGCAAAGGTAGCTAGGCTGTGCGCACATGGCGTGTTCTACTGCATGGTGACAAAGGACAAGATGTTTGACCAGCTAGAGTGTGGGCCAAACAGGGGAGGGCCCTAGATAAGGCTGGGTCCACAGATAATGCTGGTTGATGGCCCAGACTGCTCCAGGTGAAGAAGAAACCTTTCTCTTGGGTTTTTGTCCTGCAGTTTTCAGCAGGGGAGCTTTGTCTAATTTAGTTTCCTGAGAGGCTGCTCTGGCAGGAGTGGAGTGGGGGTGTTGACTAGATAGGAAATGATGGGGACCTGAGGTGTGAGGAGAGAGGGCTGGGAGATTCATCAGGACTTGGGGGTGAATGCCTGGGGTTACCATGCTGTGATATAGGTAATACTCAAGGAAATGGAGGCCCCTCCTCAAGCCATGAGGACACCCACATGATTGCTTTCTGGTTCTGGAGGGGAGGAACTTGGAGTAACTGCTGAGATCTACCTACCATATTCCAGCTTTTCCTCTGAATCTGTGAGAACACCTTGAGATGAGGAGAAAGTGGTGGTGGAGAGCAAGCCTGGGCTGGCCCCATGCTCAGATGCGAGGGGTGGCAAGGGGCCTGAGGCAGAAGTGTCCTGGAGCTGGCCAAGCCCTGAAGCAGGAATTGGCTATAGAATCAGGGTGAGACTCCAGGATATTGAAGCCACTTTCCATGGAAGGTGACCAGGGGGTAAGGGAGGTACAGCCTGGTAGCTCAATAGCCCTTATGGGCAGTCAGCATTTACAGGAAAAATTACCCCAGAGAGCGATGGCTTTGTGATTGCTGCTCAGTTGAGACAAAGCTGTTAACAAGAGAAGCTTGTACATAAATCCTCTCTGACTTCCTTTGAGAAAGATCCTTCTTCCTTCTTAACTGACAGTGGTCCCTGCAGAGAGAGCCGAGGGAGGTTCTCAAGCCCACTCTTGTCTCAGTGTGCTGAGCGGGCAGTTGGAACCACAGGGCAGGAATCCACGTTCTGCCACGCAGCCAGCGTCCTGGGGCCCGACTTTTGCCACCGCAGGGTCCAGGGGGAGAAGAGCCATGCTCTGATGCAGGCTTTATTGTTTACAAAGGAGAAAAGCAGCAACAGAACTGAAAATATGGTTAACAGGAGAACCTTGTGTCCCTGACAGCTCGGAAGAAGAGGCTGTAGCTGGGGAGAGTGAGCCAGGGTGTGAGCCGGCCAGGTGGGGAGAGGGTGAGCAGGAGGGTCTCCTGAGACTCGGGGTTCCAGGGTGAAGCCTGGTTCTAGAGTCATCTGCAACCCTGCCGCTTCGAGGAGACTGAGCTTTGGGAACTTTTTATTTTACTTTGGTTCAACCTTTCTAATGTAATGCACACAGGAGAATTAGTCCGTCAGCTTGAAAAGCACGTGCTGAAGAGCAAAAGCAGAAGTCTTCTGATTTAGTTTTCTTGCTTTATCTAAAGGTGAAGTGAGGACGTAAAAGTGGTCATTCCAAGGCAGGACCAATTAAGATAAGATAAAAGACCAGAGCTAGGATTTTTCAGCTCCTCGTGCTTTGGCTGGGAGGCACGAGGATCTAACAGTATAGCAAATCTAATAATGTTTCAATGATTCAATGAAATACTAAAATTAGACAAAACAGAAACACTAGTTCCTTTTTTGTCTACAAATGTGTCCACAGATGAGTTTTGTACTAATTCATTTCACACTTTCATTATTGACAGGTACAGCATGGGAACCTGATGGATAATTAACCAAAAGTTTCTTATCAACAGACCCCCAGCTCTGGGAGAAGCCATTATCACCCATAAGATCATACAATCCTATCTCACCAGAAGGCCCAGTGGTGTGGGGGATGACTCTCCAGACCCGTTGACACACCCACCCCATTATCTGATAATTGGATGATCTCAGGCAAGTGGCTGAATTTCTCTGAGCCTCTGGTTTTGTTTCTGTAAACTGGGTACAATTTATAGAATTCTAGGGCTGCTGGAAGGATCAGGGAGAATTCTACATGCCAAGGGCTGTTCCTGGCACACTATAGATGCTTGCTTGATAAATAAAAGCCTGGTATAATGTTCTCTGCCCTCCTTGCCTCTCTATAACACACTTCTGAGGTTCTGTTTTTTCCCAGAAACTTCAAATATCAAGCAACTCATTTCCACATATAGT